CCTGCTACTGCTACCTCTAATACTACTGCTACCACTACAGCTACTGCTACCACTACAGCTACTGCTACCTCTAATACTACTGCTACCACTACAGCTACTGCTACCTCTAATACTACTGCTACCTCTAATACTACTGCTACCAATACAGCTACTGCTACCTCTAATACTACTGCTACCACTACAGCTACTGCTACCACTACAGCTACTGCTACCTCTAATACTACTGCTACCACTACAGCTACTGCTACCTCTAATACTACTGCTACCACTACAGCTACTGCTACTGCTACTGCTACTACTACGGCTACCACTACCTCTGCTGCTACTGCTACCACTAGAATAACTGCTACTGCTACTGCCACTGCTACTGCTACCACTACTGCTACTGCTACTACTACAGCTACTGTACTGCTACTACTACAGCTACTGCTACTGCTACTGCTACCATTATCGCCACCACTACTGCTACTGCTACCTCTGCTGCAGCCACTACAACTACTGCTACCACATTAGCTACCGCTCCCTCTACCGCTACCACTCCCTCTACCGCAACCGCTACTGCTACCACTACCGTTGCATCGTGCATACCTCATCTAGCTGTAGTATGGTTCGATCCTCGTACTTCCGCACCTCCTCGCTCGTGAGTCCGTACCACAGATCGATCCAGCAGAACATCTGGCGATGAAAGTTGAGGAAGAGACGGCCCTCCGACTACGCGCGGAAGAAAATACCGGTTATTACCACCATCGCCCAGCCCTCTTGTTACGGACGAACGTGCCCTCCCACTCTCCCCACATCCCACGCACAGCGCTCGGGTAAATTCAAGAGTTTTCGTTCAACCCTATTATATATCTTATAACTGCTGCTATTATTGTGGCTACGGCTGCTACTGCTGCTGCTACAGTTGCTACTGCTGTTGCTGCTGCTACAGCTGCAGCTACTCTGCTACTTAACTAATTATCGACACTTTACCAACTTGAATTACTAAATAATGTGCCTCGCTACACAACCTGATGGATGCGTTCACGTTTCGTGATCGCAGAATTCTCAATCGAGATGCATAGACTGCCCCCGACAGTCCCCCGAGGCTGAACCCAGCAGCTTCTAGGTGACTAAAGGGGACAGTCTAGTAAATGCCGGCGTGCGGTGAGGGATAAATCTTTTCGCCGGGGGTTGAATCTGCATATTTAGATCGTAGTAAAAATATATTCGGGTTTTCGTTTCGCGCGTCACGCGACCTGTCATTTTCGTCGTACATTATCACATAAATTATCAGCGTATTACCAAGCCAACCACTAAAACAGGTGGGAACGCAAAAGGAACGGAGGACCATTCCCAGTTTTCCCGTATAAAAAATATTCCATTTCCCAGTTTTGAGCTTTCCTGCTTCCCGACTGACTTCTATATCCGAATCATGGAAAATTCATCAAGTAACTCCCGGTTCCCAGACAATTAAATTAATTAAATTAAAAATTATAATGGTCCAATTCATTCGACGTTCAATTGTAAATAACCTTTCCGATTTAAAACCCTGTGTAAAATCACAAAACAAGTGGTGCGTCCTGCTCAGAATTCTGTTTTGGATGTCGCGGTTTCACCCTGCTTGGCGCGCCACCTAGTGAGATCGATTATAGTCGTCCTTCATTCCTCGCACTTCTCCTGTCTTCCTTTGCTGCAGAGGAAAGAGCAACAATGGTATAAGTGCACAGACCACGATTACCATTAATGCGACTCCATCTATAATTACTATCACTATATAGCTTAACTAGTAACACCACCACTTCTTCATCCGTAAGTTCATACCTTTACCACTACCTCTAAAAGTAATCACAGGGGATATAGTTTAAGATAATTAGTTTATTAACTGTATTACACAACAATAATATGCAATATAATCCATTCTTGGTGCAAATTCACAATGTAAGCCATGTACTAGATTGTATTTAAATTAGGTACCTTGACTTTAACAATCAAAGTACATTACTATAAAATACTTATGGGTTTGTACTACCTGTCAATGTATTCATCAAAAATAATATGAAACACAAATTCCTACCACAATGTCTGCATTATTACTGTTTATATATAATTAAAAATATTAATATTAATACTATAGAATAATTAAATCACTTTATCAACGGAGTTTAAGATGAACCGGACAATATTCATGTGTACCCTCAATTTGTCCTCATTTACAGCAAAAATTGTTCTCACTTTATACGAATTTCACTGGATATTACCTCATGGATAGTACGTATATATAATGAGCTAGGTGGGTATATCGCGAACTAAGTCAATGGCAATTAGGAATGCGTGCCACTGTATCCCAGTAGGTATATTGTTACAGGCGCTAGGATCGTGTTTGTTTACTTGACTGAGGAATTGGACTGTGCCTCGCTAATTAGAACTGGGTCCAGCGTGCAAAACTTCCGTTAGTCGTTCTGTTCGTGCATTTTATAATAACGTTGCTTATTGAAAGACGTATTGGGTTTTCAGCTCATTGTGTAGTTGGTAAATCATACATGCATGAGCGTTTCCAGGTGTAACAAAAAGAGTGTTGTAGCTAAATGTGATTTTTTTAGATATAATAATCCTAGGTCGATACTTTTAGTGGTGGCGCATACTGTGGTGGGGGCATAGATGTACGTGTTTTTATATGACCACAAGATAGGGTCTAGACAGTTGTGGTGAGGAACCTTTGGGTAACCTTATATTTATTATATATGTCCCAAGTATGATTCAACGCATTTCCTCTTGCTGGTTCTGAAACATCAATTTCCTAAAATATTTTGGACACTGGGATAACGGTTTTGGTTTGGAACATGATTTTGAAGTGAAGTCATATAGTCATCGCCAGTCTATTATGACAGATTATCGTATGCAAGGTGATGCATATAAGGTATCCGGATCGCCAATACCATCGACGCTCAGGTGGGTTAGAGCCACGAAAAGTGTCTCAACGTAAAGTAAACGTAATTAGGCCCTGGGTGCTTCCATGTATCTTGCTGTTTGACCTTAAAGATTTCATAATAAGTAATCTATTGCTGGCAGTCCATTTCTATGAGTGTATCGTGCGCTCTGGTGACGGAGTTAGAAGTACTAAATAACCCGTACGTCCTTTTGTGCTTGGACAAAGCTTCGCTAATTTGTTGTGTCATTTATATATTTGCTCATTTAGTTGTTCTTTCATTCGCTGGTTACTTTGTGGACATATATTTTACCGTCACAGTCTGTGGTACGGACTGCAACTAATCGGCCTCTGTTATACTAGTACCATTGTGCATCATGACACGTCTGTCTCATAGTAGCAATATATAAGGAGCGAACGGCGGAGTTTATAAGACAGGAAGTGATAAAGTTCTAAGACGCGAAGGATCGAACCATCAAACTGTCAGTAAGGTAGCAAAACTACCAAAACGTCGATAAATCGGAGAATTTTACTGCTTAACATGGTATCATTTATATAAAAATTATAGAATGTCTCTATACTTGTAGCCAAAGTCGGGCAGTTGCACAGGCCACTAGTTCAACATTTTAAAAATGCTTAATATATGATATGCCACTCGGGGCTAGTAATCAATTGCGTCAGATAATAGACTGTATTAAAGATTGCACAGACTATGTTTTTGGTTAGTGGAATCATGTTTTGCTGTTGCCCTCGGTGATTCAGATTACCAACTAGTAGAAGGTAGAAGGGTGAGCGCTTGCTGGTATTAAATAAATGCTTTGTTTTAGAAGATTGAATATATTGTGCAATAGAGAGGCGGACCATTGGTTGTGTTTACACTCCAGTAATATTTATAACACGTAGGCTAATAAATCGCAGGGGTGCTTTGAATATATCGGCTAAGGTATAAAAGTTTGGCGTGAGTTGGACTTTTTAGCACAGAGGTAGGCAGTAGCAGCTATCGGACTTTTTATTGTTTTATTAAGCGCAACGGCGCGATATATTTATCGTGAGTCAGGCATATACTAATATGGCCATGCTTTAATTAGAAAGTGGTAAAGGGAACACGTTATACTAAGACTAATATAGTGCTATTTTATGATATTTCCTGATGAACTCGTTAGAGGTCATTTATGGGCTAGGGTGATCATGGTTGATGCTATTTGCTATAAGCTGTGATCTATAGCTAATATGTTAGTGCGATATTAGTTTTTATGAAGTCTTCTGGTAATCGATGGCAAGGTCCCAGTCGCTTTAAGGATTAAATGGTATAGGCAACTGGCAAGGGGAAAGCAAAATCAAAACCGATAATAGTTTCGAAAGTTGCCAAATTAATCACTCGCTTTTCTTCACGCTACATGGCATTTATGTTCCAGTTATTTCCTTAGCATGAGTGAGGTGGATATTCAAGTGCACACGCTTAGCAGCAGAGGTAGTCGCGTAGAGACCGTAGTAGTGAGCAGTGCGAGTAGCCAGTCATTGCTCGATAAAGTAGAGTTGGGTAGCCAGTAGGGTATTCACAGAGTAGGTATTCTGCAGTCAGGGCATATTTGTGTGGAGGCTCAGGTAATCGCTAGTAGTATTTCGTCCTAGAGGGATCGGTGGGTACTAAGGCTGGTTTCCTTTGGAAGGATTAATTCTAAGAATCATTAATGTACTGTGTCTTTGATCGGATAAGAATATTGACTCATTTATCAGCTTCCGCTAAAGCTGTAGTCTGCCCGCATAAAAATTACGCGGTATATTGCTGGACGTCCTATGCTTAGGATAGAAATTTCACATGGAGGAGGGTTTACAGCATATCTAAAAACGATCCCATCTCCTCCCAAAATGAAGTGGGCAAAACTAGTCATAATACCATGGGCAGTAACGAAACTGTTATGTTCCAATGGTGTGTATGTTTGCTCCTATGGTCAAGACTCGGGTTTTAATTCAAGAATGTGTTGGCGTATTATTAGAGTACCTTCTTAAAACTGCAGTAGTATTAAGAATGAGGTACAGTACGCTGTAGTGGTACGCAAGTAAGTAATGTAGATGGTAGAGTAGCTTGTAGTGGTAGCAAGTAGTGATTAGAGGTAGCAGTAGCTAGTAAATTGGGTAGCAGTATATTGAGGTATCGTACACAACAGAATGGCACCCTGGAGGGAGGCGGAGCGGGCGGGTAATGGAGTAGAGGAACTTCCTTCCACGCCGTGCCTTGGGAAGGAGAGAAAAGAATGATAGGGAGCTGTAGTGGTAGGCAGTAGTATAATTCAAAGAAAGGTAGCAGTAGCTGTAGTGGTAGCATAGTCTTATTCAGACGGGGTAGCGCAGTAGTATTAAGGTAGCCAGTAGCTGTAGTGGTAAGCAGTAGTATTAACGAGGTAGCAGTAGGGCTGTAGGTGGTGAGCTAGTAATATCGGAGGACGGGATAGCAGTAGCTGTATGTGGTAGCGAGGAGGTAGTAAATGTAACGAGTAGGGCACACCCCCAGCTACTGTAGGATGGGGTAAAGCAGTAAGTAGTATTCAGAAGCCCCGCAATACGCAGTGAGCTCCTCGTACGTGGTCTAGCAGTCACCCTGTAGTGGTAAAGCAGTAGTTATTGAGGTAGAGTAGCTGAGTGAGCAGCTGGTAGTGCCGTAGCATGATCTAGTAGGCAGTGCTTAGTGTAGCAGTAGTACCGCAGAGGTACTAGGTAGCTGTATTGGAGCAGTAGTATTAGAGGTAGCCAGTAGTGTCATCATGGTAGCAGTAGTAAATTTCGAAGCGGTGCAGTACTGTAT